CCCGGCTTTCACAACTACCCCATCTAACCATTTGGCTGCTTTACCCTCTAGGTAAGATGCCGCAGTTACCACCTCATCCTCTGGCAAGGTCCTTTTGGCCTTCACCCAAACCGGGACCGTCCTCAACCATGTGTTGAGTTCCTCGTCCTTTCTCTCGCCTGAGAAGGCAAGAGGCGGTTTCATTGGGGTCTTGGGGTACCATTGACCTTGCTGCTGTCCAGACTGCGGAACAGGTTGTTGTGGTGATGTAGCAATCACCACTGCACCCGAAGAAGAAGATGCAACAGTCTGTGCTGCTGCTGCAGACGTACCACTTGGCTGTGTGCCAGCTTGTACAACAAAGGGGCCTGACATCGCCGTTAACGGCAACGGCGATTGTGCTGGTGGCTGGAATCCTGGCTTTGTCAATGCATGCAGGATCTGGTCTAAAGTGCTTTGCATGAAGTCCATCCTGCTGTCCACATGCGCATGCAGTGACAACATGTTGTCTCTCAACACTTTCAGGGGGTCAGACAAACTTGATTCGTCCAATCCCTCTAACGCAGCCTTGTCAGCCTCTAACGTATCAAGTCTGGCTGCTCTACTTTTTATCTCTTTTTCTTTATCGGTTGCTTTCTTCAGATCCTCCTCTAACTGCTGGCGGAGCCTCTCGACCTGTTGGATCTCTCTGAGCTCCCGCTCTCGTGCGTTCATGGGGCTGAACTGCGAGCCTGCCGACTAAAAGATCCTCTAGAACCTGTAGACCCGGAAGCGCCCGAGGAACTCGTGGAACTAGTTGGCATTCCCACACTCATCCCATTAGTCCCTGACAAAGCCGCAGAGGATGCTGCTGAGCTAGTCATGGCTGCTGCCCTATCTGCTGCGGCAGCCTGTTCCCTAGCTGTGGCGTTTGCTGTTGCTCTCGATGCTGCGAGAGCACGGGCTCTGCGTTCGGCGCGAAGTTGTCTTAATTCTTCCTCGTCCAAGGTCCTGAACACGTGCGGTACCCTTAGTGCCTGTGCACGTGTTAATCTTCTAGTGTCTGCTCTATCATCAACAGGTTCTGATCCACTCATTAGTTAGGCAGAGAGTTTCTGCACTAGAATCCCCTAGTGGAATCCTACCACAGCATGTATCTGACCGGCACCTAATTTTCTAACAATAGTTGTGTCCGGCGAGTATCCTACTATACCGAATCAAGTGGCATGTCTACAACATTCACACAGATTGTCTACATTGTCTAGATGCACCCTGAATGGTTCACTTACAGCAGCGTTAGTTAGCTTTGGCTGTGGTAGCATACAACAGTCCTAAACTAATCCGTCTGTGAGGTTAGCAGTCCGTCAACCAACTAATCAAAGTACAAAAAGACAATGTAGCAGATGTATGATTGATGGGTATTGCTGTGTTTACAGTTGAGCACCAATTGGAACCTACCCTTCCCCTCAATCCAACCATCCGAACAGCATCATTGAGCAGGCAGTGTCTTCGTGTACATGTCGGCCCACCCCTGTGCCCAAGTTGTCACCGAGCAAGCCAGCCCAACCACTCTTATTTACCCTCGTACGGCGACGAGCCTTCCTGTCCATGTGATCTGGCTGATCAGGAGGAATTTATAGAGC